CCAAAGTCGAACTGCTATCGTTCCTGCACGTCGTACAAGAAAAGTACAAATTATATTAATTAAAATGGCAACGTGTCGACGACACGTCTTTCACGTTGCCCGTTCTTTCGCGGAACGAAACGGTAATAAATATTGTATTGGTTACTTTGAAACTTTGTCATTTCTCGTTCTTGAATTTATTATTGCACCATCCAGGAACGGATGAATAGATCATAAGCGTGGACATTTTACGAAGGAAATATAATACGACCGTTGTATTGATAATTCAAAGTGCTTGCGATTAATAAATATAGAAGCATAATACGTATTAATACGACAGTGGAATATTCATGAAAAATATCGGCGCAAGACCGATCCAAACGTTGCACTGAGAGTTTGTTTGTTTCGAAAGATAATTCTGAACGATGAATCGAGCATATATCTTGTTGCTTTTAATGGTGCAATTAATTGCTACCTTGTGCGTTAATGAAAACAGCATTATCCGTGATTACTTCGCGTTCAGGAAAGTGAGAAGAATCGTTGGATTCTCCTGCGACAATGCGGAGAGTGCGTAGCAAAATGTTCTCCTTAATTAAAACGTTCCTTTTAATTATGCACACGAGATATCTTACCGTTTTATTTCGCAAAAAGCAGATAACTTTAAGCTCGCGAGAACGTTCAGCGATGTGTATACCACGTATATTTCAATGTTGAATTGTTGCACGCCTGAGTCGCGAGAATTGGATGCGAGAAAGATCTTAAGAGCAGAGTATAATTGGCTGGGCGTTTTTCTGGATTCACGATGCGATCGTAGAGAATACGCTAGAATCCTCGTGGACGTAAGTAATCTCTTGTGTCTTTATAAATAGTTTTTATAAAAAAAAAAAAAGTAATTTAATTACGTTACGAATTGCTAGAATCTTAATAATTTCCCAATCGTTTTTCTCTTTTTTCCAATTTTCGATCGTAATCTCACGTAATTTCACGGTGTGAAAAAAATGTGGGTGATACTAACTCGTTACACTTGTACGAACATTACACTTGTTATACATAGGCAACTAGATATTCCATGTACGACGAGATGCACAAATGGTTAATTTTGGGCTCGAACTTAAGCCACGTAACAGAAATATTAAACGACAGCGCGTTCACTGTCTCTACCGACGTCATAATCGCTGTATCATCAGCGAACGATTATATCCTGTACGATGTCTATAATCCTTGCAAAGATCGAGGAGGATCGATGAACGTAACGCACTTCGGGACGTGGAACAGTAAAACTGGATTAAACGTTAGCATGAGCCAATCGAAATTCGAGAGAAGAGCAAATTTACACGGGATGAAACTTAAAGTCGGGGTGGTTGTAAGTTGTCGAAGTTGTCTGCTATTACAATTGACGAAAATTAGAATTTCAATAGATATTCAATACACGAAGAGGCTTGCAGATGAATTTCAAACCAGAGAACGTGTCGCTTCACGAGATAATGTTGCAACACAGCATGAAGTCCAAATACGGCCAATCGAAATTTTTATACGTATTGTTGCAACATTTGTCGGACATCTTCAATTTCACGTAAAAATCCATGATGAAACTTAATACTCTATAAGTAGCGCAATTATCGTTCAATCGTAACGAGCAGCATATGTTCTATGCATGCATTAATTAATTAATTTCTTTTTTTTTTTTTTTTAATTCGCTGGCCTCTACTTTGCAGCATAGAAGTTGTGCAAATAAATGGGCAAAGAAGATTCGATAATTCTGGCCCTATATTCGCGGCTTTTAAAAAGAGACTCGTAGACCTTTCAGCAAGCCCATTCGCGATGAAAGTCGACAGATTGAACAACGGAGACATAATTGGCCCGGTCTGGCCAATACGGTATACTACTACTTCTACTTTCTTTGCACCTTCTGCTACGTCTTATGTATCTTACGTTCATTCGTAACACGTTAATTTCACGAGAAATGGCACGAGAGCGTTATGTACTGGTCTAAGAAATTCAGATTATTCGTACCTCATTGTCGTAGGTCGTGTTTTATGTTTCGCACGATTTCGTCGACGAGAATCAAACCAGGCCAATTTCTGAAACCCCTGTCCGTGAAAGTGTGGTACGTGATACTGGCTATGATAGGGACCGTGACGACAGTTTTAATCATTTTTCTAAGATTAGAAGGCATTCGTACTCCTACGGAGATGTGCGGCCTCTCCGTTTTACTCACAGTAGGAGCTTTGTCCCAACAAGGTAATGAAATATCAATCGATAAAATCGTTCTCGAATTTTTTTTTTTCGAAATGTGAAACTCTTCCTCGTTCGTTTAGGCTCTGCGTTCGTTCCAACTCGTTGTGCAAGTCGCATAGCGTTCCTCCAAGCTTTATTCTTCAGCTTGTTAATCTTGAATTATTACTCGGCGAGTGTCGTGTCAAATCGTTTGAAAAACAAGGGCGAGAAGATGAACGATTCACTGATCAGTTTGGCCAAGAGCAATATGAAAATTGCGGCAGAATATACACCTTATATTCGCTCCTTTCTTCAGGTAATGCCTTTTACAAAGATATTAAAAGAAAGAAAGAAAAAAAAAAAAGAAAATATTTACAAATATATACATTTTCTGAGGAAAGAAAAATTCGAGAAATTTCCTTCAACATTACAATTTTTATTTATATATATATATAATATGTTTATTTAAGATTATTTATTATTTAATTAACAAATCGATAAAATTTAATATTATATTGCTATATATTATTTTTTTTTCTATACTGATGTTAAATAATT